CTGGTTTAGGCAGCTGGCAAATTCTCCTCTGAGGTCTGTGACATCATCAGCCATGGTTAGTTTGGCTAGGTTTATAGCACCAGGCATGGATTCACTTCTACTGATCTGGTCCTACAACTGACTAAATGGATGTTGGAGGCCACCATGTTGCAAGCACTACATGGTTAACATTGGAGGTCTTGTGGCTCATGGGTTTTACAGCTGAGTAGGATGAGTGATGTTTTAATTTTTCTCTAGGAAGCCTTTAGAGCGCCTTCAGATACTAGGTGAGCTAGTGCTCAGGTAGCAGGCTTCCAGGTCAGTTCCAACTTGACCAACAAGTTTTTAGTGAGTGTCTTACTTTCAGTTTATGGAAGATAACCAAGGACAATAGCTATAGCCTACAGTATTTAAGTAGTCTTTTTATTTCTTTAGCCAAGAACTAGAAGAGAGGTTTCCTATGGCACTGGGATTTGTGTCAAATAGTCTATGACACTTATAGGGGGTATTTATTAACCCAAGTGGTTTAACTATATATATATGTATATATGTATATGTATACATGCATATATATTAACACACACTATATACATATATAGTTGTGTATATATATTATATAGTATGTGCATTAATTTTTAAATAAGCATAAAATAATATTTTCTTGTGGTCTTTTCAATCACCATTAATGTTTTCTGCTTTTCCCTCTTTCTCTGTATTGCCCTCCCTGCCTCCTCTCCAGCAAAATTTTAAGTCTATATAGCAAAATTCCCTCATACAAATTAATTAATGAAAATATTGTCATTAAACATTTTCACAGTGATTTACCACTTACAGAATGGTTTCATGATTATCTCTCAATAATCGTGTTATACCTTTAGAAGCCTAAAAGTTGAGGTAATAAAAGAATACTTAAATATGCATCATGTGTGTTTCTATTCTAGCTCTTCTTTCCTAAGAGCTAAAATCAACTCATATGTGCAATAAATAAATAAATAATGTAATGAACTTCCCACATTGCCCTAGGGCTGAAGTTCTTTCCTGGCAGATGAAGATGATGCTTTGGGTGCCATGTAACATCAGGATTTTTTTTTTCTAAACATTACAAAAAGCCGATCAAAACTCTGTATTTTCATTACTTTACAAGTTATAAAAACAGAGTGGTGGTCTTTTATAGTCAACAAACCAGTCTTGCACGGTGATGCATATCTTTAATCCTACAATTGTGGAGGCTAATACCAAAGGATTGTGAGAGCAGAGACAATTTAGGTTACAAACCAGATGTTCACGTTCAGAAAGAATAAAAACAAGGGCAATTGGCAATATGTTCTGCAGTATTCCCCATAATTACCAGACATTCTCCTTCCCTACCTTCCTCTTCTCCTCCAAGGACACACACCGGTTCCTCCGTATCTGGGAAACAAAGGCTCTGGATGCTGTCTGCTTTCAACTACTTGGTAATCCCATGCCTTATGTAGTGTTCATGGCTGGGAAAGCACCATACAGCACCAGGTGCCCAGTTATGTAGCATTTCTGTAACTACTAAAGGGAAGAGTATAGCCATGTGAATATTAATGTTCCACTGGGCTTCTGGAATTGGCCCGGCCAAGACCACACTGGTGATAAGACAAACATCTTTGTACATCTTGTACATTGCTGAGTTCTCAATTAGTAATTGGTATTAGGTTATCTCTGTTTCATACATAAGGGAGCTGCCACTCATGGTAATTTGAAAGTATGCCATAATACTTTAATAGGTTATCATGCTTCACAAGTCTCCCGCTCTGAACATAGACGCATGCCATGCATCTAGCAGTCCAGAAAATACTTTACTTATCTGAATATTCTTAAAAGAATCCACCTGTCTACACCCAAGCTCCCTGGACCCTTCACACAGACACTGCTACCATTCCTCTCAAGAGAAGAACTTTTCCAAATTTTTTGACATGTCTAATAATAAATTTATGATATTTAGCATATTAACTATGGAAATATAGATCCATACCAACCTACGCTTACACATGTGTACATATAGACACATCGGAGAATGTATGCAGACATATGCAAATATTTATAGCATTATTTGCATATTCAAACTGGTTCCCTTAAATGGCCACCTTAGGGAGCCATGGATTCCCCCCAAAACTTTCAATGGCACAATTTTGGAGTTGATTTAGAGGAATCACATTTTAAGTATTCTCACAATTATCTCATCTTTCCAGGGAGGATTTTTTTTTCTGGAAACAAAACTGTTCAAAGCGAGTGGGAGCTGAAACTATCAAGCAAAGGCATCAATTTTCTTATGCAATTTGAAATTGGTTCTGAGAGCAATTACAGAAATGGGTTTGTGCCACAGCATGTTGACTAATAGGCCCATGGGCACACGCCTGTGTTAGGGCACGACTCGCAATTTCTAGTTTTCAGATTAAAATAACTCATGATCATTTCATCGGAGGGGTATAATCATGCATTCAGTGAAACAATTTAAAATACGTGGAGTCCTTATGTAAAAGACAATGGAAAATAATGGCAAATATGAAAGTTATGTTACATCTCTTTATTCAGGGCAAAAAAAATCCCACACACATTAAATCATTGCATAAAACCAATTAAAAAGTAGCTAGTTGCTGATGTAGGGAGAGGAAGGACAATGCCATCTGTTTACATTCTGTTTAATCTTCTGAACAGCTCTTTAGTTATAGCCTCAGAACTCGAGCTTCTCATACACAGCAAAAAATAAAATAAAATGAAATAAAATAAAAGAAGTTATAAATGCTGACTTCAAGCAGACTTGGATTTGAACTCAGATGAACTCTATGCATGGAAGTAACCTAATATGGCCAAGTCTTGTTCCTCATCTATAAAATTACAGGACTAAGAGGAGTCAATGAGAGCTGGGCAGTGGTGGCACATGCCTTTAATCCCAGCACTTAGAAGGCAGAGGCAGGAGGATCTCTGTGAGTTTGAGGCTAACCTGGACTATAAGAGCTAGTTCCAGGACAGGCTCCAAAGCTACAGTGAAACCCTGTCTCAAAGGAAGAAAGAAGAAGAAGAAGAAGAAGAAGAAGAAGAAGAGGAGGAGGAGGAGGAGGAGGAGGAGGAGGAGGAGGAGGAGGAGGAGGAGGAGGAGGAGGAGGAGGAAGAGGAGGAGGAGGAGGGGGGG